GCTGATGATACCAAACTGGGAGGTGCTGTTGACTCTCCTGAGGGACAAAAGGCCTTGCAGAGGGATCTAGATAGACTGGAGCATTGGGTTATGATTAATGGGATGAAATTTAACAAGTCCAAATGCCAGATTCTGCACCTAGGATGGAGTAACGCCAGGCACAAGTATAAATTGGGAGAGGAGTGGCTGGAGAGCAGCTCTGCAGAAAGGGACCTGGGGGTGCTGGTTGACAGCAGGCTCAGTGTGAGTCAGCAGTGCGCCCTGGCAGCCAAGAGGGCAAACCACATCCTGGGGTGCATCAAACACAGCATAACCAGCCGGTCAAAAGAGGCAATTATCCTGCTGTATTCAGCTTTGGTGCGGCCTCACCTTGTGTACTGTGTGCAGTTCTGGGCCCCACAACTTAAGAAGGATGTGAAGGTCCTTCAATGCGTCCAGAGGAGGACAACCAAGCTGGTGACAGGGCCAGAAGGAATGCCCTATGAGGAGCGTCTGAGGACTTTGGGCTTGTCTAGTTTGGAGAAAAGGAGGCTAAGGGGCAGCCTCATTGCTCTCTACAGCCTCCCGAGGAGGGGAAGTGGAGAGCGAGGTGCTGATCCCTTCTCCCTAGGATCCAGTGATAGGACACATGGGAATGCCTCAAAGCTGACCAGGCGAGGTTTAGACTGGACATTAGGAAGCATTTCTTTACCGAGAGGGTGGTCAAACACCGCAATAGGCTTTCTAGAGAGGTGGTTGATGCCCCAAGCCTGTCAGTGTTTAAAGAGGCATTTGGACAATGCTCTTAATACCATGCTTTAACTTTTGGTCAGCCCTGAATTGGTCAGGCAGTTGGACTAGATGATCGTTGTAGGTCCCTTCCAACTGAAATAGTCTATTCTGTTCTGTTCTATTTATCAAGCTTATGTTCCCAAAATCTTAGGAGCTCCTAGCCCATTAAGTTTTCCTTTGCTTGTCCCCATCTGAAAGATTAACAAAAACAAGGACAATAGAGAATAATGATTTGGCAAATGCTGCTGAACTGCACAAGCAAGGAAAAAAATCGCTACTCTCATTTTTTCATTCTAATAGTGCTGGCAATAAAAGTTTCCTCTTTTTTTTTCCCTACTTGACCCAGGATTCATTTTAACCAACTTGTTCTGTTGGAACTGGGTTTCAAAATTAGGCAAATATATTAAGATATCCAGAACATTTTTTACCCGAGTTATATATATCCTCTATTGTACAAGCTTTGCGGTTCTTCAAAACCTCAATTTCAAATGAGCTATTAGGAAATACCAGCATCAGCACTGATGCCAACTAAAGCTTGCATCTGTCTCCCAAGTCAGTGTTACAAAATGTCCTTAACAATTGACCTTCGCAATTTGACCACTGCATAGTGCCATGCTCTTAAAAAAAATGACAAAAAAAACATCTCAGGATGGGCAAAGCACAGCTCACAACTGAGTCTTCAGAAAGTGCCTCACTGAATCACTTACTGAAGCCATCTGCTGCCTGCGCTTCATGATGGCATCCCATTTGGAAGGTATCTTCAAGTGCTGCATCAAACACTCCTGTAACGTGCAGACACGGTGCGGAAGGAAGCCGCCTGTTGCCATTGAGAACTGCAGAGCGTCAGCAACCTGTGATGGAAGGGATCAATATGCCATGACCAGCATTTGTTAACCCAAGGCAAAGAATGTGGAGGTTTGACAGCGGGGATGCATGTTAGAAGTATGCTGCCAACAAATTAATCCTCATTTTGACTGCATACAGTTGCAGAGCTAGTAATCTGACTCCTTAAAGCCGTTAAGTTACACAAAAGACTAAATTAAGTTTTAAGAATGACTTATATAAGTTATATGCTGTATTAGTCTAAGGCTCTTTCTAGCCCAGTAGCCTTGTCTCCAGACAGCAGGTGGTTAGGAACAGTATCAGAAGAGAGTAAACATACCGTGATACTTCCGCAGGATACTTATGGTTTTGCCTTTTATCTAAAACCTGAAATAGTGATGCAATGTAAGGAAAACATGGTGAAAGAATATGTAAGCCTAAAACCTGATTTTGCCAGTAAGACTCATCTTTGACAGTGTACAGAGCCAGAAGGGAAGCAGACAACAACCTCCAGCAGCGACTGCATTGCATGGTGTTTGCTTGTTTTGTATCCTGGTTTCATCCCTTTTACCCTTTTGCACGAGAGCAGGAACAGCCCTGACTCTTGTCCCTAACCAGGGAACACCGAGTTGAGTGGGACTGTTGCAGCAGGTACAGAGAGAAGACAATGGAAAAGAGAAGCCTGGAAGAGAGTCCTCTCACCAGGGGAATGGAGAGGAAAAAATAAAAAGCCTGTGTCCACACTCAAAATCTGAGACTGAGCTATCTGTCATTAAAACAACCTACCCTTCAGACTTCCTCTGCTACTCAGAAGCCCAGATTCCCACTCTGGTTCCCTGAAACCCCCACTGACCTCTCACAGCCCTTTTCTCCTTACTACTCTCTCCTGAGAAACCTTAAGCCAACACTCAACGCAAGCATCCGCAATCCCACCAACAAAACCCGTGAGCTCACAGGGAAGCCCAGTTTTACTGCAAGGGTTACAGCTGAAGCCACTGTTCGAGCTGTTCTACCACACGCTGCCCATGTGCTACCTAGACCAGACCACATCATGCTTGGCAGCACCAGTTCAGCCCCTGCAATAGCGACCACAGAATTGTAACTGACCTCTTCTGGCCTCTTACAGAGAGGGTAAATTTCAAGACCAAACCCCCATTCCTAACTTATCTATAAAGTCTTGGGGGGGGGGGGGGAGGGATACTCTCTTCCTGTCCACTAACAAAGG